TTAAAACACCCCCAAAAACAGAAACCAAACCACACAAACAAACCAAATTAAAATAAAATAAAATTGACAAACAAGAAACAGCTATGACTGGCAAATCTCCCTGATCACAGTCAACATCAGATAAAAGCCAGAAAATGTCAGCCTTTGTAAGGTCAGAGTGAACTAAGGCGACTAGCAAAACAATGCAGGTCGAAGGCTGAGAGTCTAGAACATTCATCGTCTTTTCGGCGTGATTTCCCTCTGATCGGATTTCTTCCAAATTGCATATCATTATTCGTTCTTGGTTAAGTTCTAAAATTAGATCATTGAACGGCTTCCAAAAATACCCAAAATCTCTTCTTTTTTTTTTTTTTTTTGGAACACTCTAAAACCTCAACAAATAAAACTAACAACGGTAAACAAATAAAAAATAAAACAGGACAAACAATAATAAAGAAATAAATTATAGACACAATTTTTCATAATAAGCAGTACAAAGACCAGATGTCATTAACCTAGTTTACTCCACCTTATTCATTTCTGTCCTCAGCGTTGCAATAACATTCTATCGTAAACTGGAACGAAGTAACGTTTGTTTGCTTGTTCCTCAGATAGAATTTACTTAGTCCAAGATATATGAACTCTGTCATCTAAGTTAAAATGTCAAATAACAAAAATAAACGGAGAAAACACCCGAAACACATAAAACAGAAGATCTTTGTTTGATTGAGTTAAAAATAAGTATTTCTGCGTAATAATTTTTGTCATTAAAGGAAGAAAGTAAATCAAATATCATTTTTGTTTTAGTTAACATTTTCCGGCACTTGCAACACAGTTTGGTTAAACAAGTGCAGAGGATTAGAGGTATTACGAGACAGTAACAACACCTAACACTCTGGCTATAAAAAGGAAGAGGAAGGCCACGCAAAAGGTGGGTCGAGGGTGTCAAGGAAACCCTGAGAAAACATAATATCCCAACTGAAAGAGCTGCGGAGTTGGCCTACCATAGAAAACTGCATCTCCCCTCGACGCTTAACGGCAACAGAGGATGAAAAAGTAAAGTAAGTAACAAAAAACAAACATATGAAGAAAGGGGAGAAACAACGACGATGGGCGAAAAAAAGTGTCAAAGGAAAGGCGAGAAGCAGAACGTAACAGACGCACCATCTAACGGTGGAGACTTGACG